GCGAGAGAGAGAGAGAGAGAGAGAGAGAGAGAGAGCGAGCGAGAGAGAGAGAGAGAGAGAGAGAGAGAGAGCGAGCGAGAGAGAGAGAGAGAGAGAGAGAGCGAGAGAGAGCGGAGTTGTCGAATTACGAAATTGGTTCAACTCGCCAATTCACCAATGTAAAGTCGGTAGTGTAAACCCAGCTTTAGTGTATCACCGCTAGTAGAATCAGCAGCTAAGCTCTGCTCTGCTGCTTTGTAGGTAAGGAGGATGGTCTGGGCGTGGAGAATCTACAGGGCTCAGGCGTGATAGCTGGCGAGACGTCACGAGCGTACGAAGAAATCATCACCATGAGCTTGGCAAGTAGACTTTATGTCAGACCCAACGTTCGTTGTATGCTCATGTTACAGGTTACATGGTGTTGAGCTGTGCCGCTGTTGAGCTCGTCGTTGCATTGCCTCATGTTACAGGTTACATGATGTTGAGGCCTGTTATCGCTTGCATGCTCATGTTACAGGTTACATGATGTTGAGCTATTGTTGCATGCTCATGTTGCAGATTACATAGCATTGAGCTATCATAGTTACATGACAGTGAGCTATCGTTGCGTGCTCATGTTACAGGTTACATAACATTGAGCTATCATAGTTACATGACAGTGAGCTATCGTTGCATGCTCATGTTACAGGTTACATGATGTTGAGCTGTCGTTGCATGCTCATGTTACAGGTTACATGATGTTGAGCTATTGGCTTGCCATGCCTCATGTCTGCCCAGATTACATTTAGCATTGAGCTATCATAGTTAACATACAGTGAGCTATCGCTTGCGCTGCTCATGTTACAGGCTTACATAACATTGAGTATCATAGTTACATGACAGTGCGCTATCGCTTTGCAGCCTCATGCTTGTTACAGTTACATGATTGTTGACTGTCGCTTTGCATGCCTCATGTACAGCGTTACATTTGATGTTGAGCCTATTGTTGCATGCTCATGTTGCAGATTACATAGCATTGAGCTATCATAGTTACATGACAGTGAGCCTATCGTTGCGTGCTCATGTTACAGGTTACATAGCATTGAGCTATCATAGTTACATGACAGTGAGCTATCGTTGCGTGCTCATGTTACAGGTACATAGCATTGAGCTATCATAGTTACATGACAGTGAGCTATCGTTGCGTGCTCATGTTACAGGTTACATAGCATTGAGCTATCGTTGCATGCTCATGTTACAGGTTACATAGCATTGAGCTATCATAGTTACGTGACAGTGAGCTATCGTTGCATGCTCATGTTACAGGTTACATGACATTGAGCTATCATAGTTACATGACAGTGAGCTATTGTTGCATGCTCATGTTGCAGATTACATGACAGTGAGCTATTGTTGCATGCTCATGTTGCAGATTACATGACATTGAGCTATTGTTGCGTGCTCATGTTACAGGTTACATAGCATTGAGCTATCATAGTTACATGACAGTGCAGCTATGTTGCATGCTTCATGCTTTACCAGGTTACATAGCATTGAGCTATCATAGTTACGTGACAGTGAGTTATCGTTGCATGCTCATGTTACAGGTTACATAGCATTGAGCTATCATAGTTACATGACAGTGAGTTATCGTTGCATGCTCATGTTACAGGTGACATAGCATTGAGCTATCATAGATACGTGACAGTGAGCTATCGTTGCATGCTCATGTTACAGGTTACATGACATTGAGCTACATAGTACATGACAGTGAGCTATTGTTGCATGCTCATGTTGCAGATTACATGACAGTGAGCTATTGTTGCATGCTCATGTTACAGGTTACATGGTGTTGAGATTTCATTGCATGGCCATGTTACAGGTTACATGGTGTTGAGATTTCATTGCATGGCCATGTTACAGGTTACATGGTGTTGAGATTTCATTGCATGGCCATGTTACAGGTTACGTGTCGAACGATCGGTATAGGAGCTTACATCGTGCGTCTTGGCCAGCGTGTGATCCATGTCGAGAACTCGCATATCATTCTCACCGGCGCCATCGCGCTCAACAAGGTAGCGTAAACAAGAGAGCATGTCTTACTAGTCCATCTGGTCATAATCACGTGACAGGCACTATTCTATACGTGTGTGTGTGCATGTGTGTGTGGGGGGGCGGGCGTGCTGTGTGTTGCCGTGTGTGTGTGCGTGTGTGTGGTGTGTTTTTTTGGGTTTTTGTTGGGGCCGCGGGCGGGCTGGCGTGCTGTGCTGCTGAAGTGTGTGTGTGCTGTGTGTCGTGTGCTGTGTCGTGTGGTGGGGCAGGGGGCGTGATGTGTGTGCGTGTGTCGTGCTGCTAGGGGGCGGCGACTGTGCGTGTTGTGTGTGTGATGTGTGCCTGTGTGTGTGTTGTGTGCGCTGTGGTTGTGAGTGTGTGCGTGTGTGTGCGTGTGTGCTGCGTCCGTGTGTGGCGTGTGCGTGGTTGTGTCGTTGTGTGTGCTGTGTCGTGTGCCGTGTGAGGCTGATGCTGTTGCCTTGTGTGTTGCGTGTTGTGTGTGTGTGTTTGTGTGTGTGTGCGCTGTGCTTGTGTGTGTGTCGTGCGACTCGGGTTTGTGTGTGCCTGCCTGCGTGTGTGTGCGGCGTCGTGTGTGTTGTGCCCTGGTGTGGTGTGTGTCGTGCTGTGTGCGTCGTGTGTGCGTGTGGTGCTGCCGGTGGTGTGTGTTGTAGTGCTGTGTGCGTCAGTGTGTGTAGTGCCTGTGTGTGCTGCTTTGTGTGTGTGTGTGCTGTGCTGTGTGCTGTGTGTGTGTGTGTGTGTGTGTCGCTGGGTGTGTGTGCCGCGGCCCGTTGTCCCTGTGTGTTGTGTGTGTGTGCCGTGTCTGTGTGTGTGTGCCGAGTGTGTGTGTGTGTGCTGTGTTGTGTGTGTGTGTGTGTGCCGTGTTGGCTGGCGGTAGCTGCTGCAATGCGTGCGTTGCGTCGCTGAGCCCGTGCGTGCCCGTGCCGTGTGTGTGCTCTGTGCTGTGTGTGCTGTGCGGGGGGGCGGGGCGTATGCGTGTGTGTGTGTGTGTGTGTGTGTGTGTGTGTGTGTGTGTCACGGTGTGCGTGCGTGCGTGCGTGCGTGCGTGTGATGTAACACTAAGGAACTAATGTAACTGCACCCTTTACTGTTGTACACCTGCTTTGCAGTGTCTCTCCGTGGCAGCGATTTTGCACTTTTCTAAAGTTAATAAATGTCTTAATGAGTATTAACCATTTAAGTTCACGGGTTGACGGGTCACCAATGACGCAAATACATTATTCGTACATTATTATTTAAAACATCTTGTCCCCTATTTACGTGTTCGCAAAGGTGACTTTCAAGTCCGTTACTCATTTTTACACCCGTCACATTGAAAAATGTCAAGTGGCATTTTCTATAATGCTTGCTGTAGTAATAACAGATGAGTACATGAGTATGTGTACTCAACCAAGAAACAAGACTTTTCTTAATTATATTATATTATAATATATTATTTATATTATATTATATTATATTATAATATAGTATTTATATATATATTATATATTTATATATGTATAATTATATAATTATATAAATTAAATTATAATTATAGAAGCTACTTTATACTGATATTATATTCAGTTATAATTAGCGTTGCTCGTTTGTCTCGTTAGCTGCTGGGACGTGAGGTCTACACATCCAACAACCAGCTGGGTGGAGTACAGATCATGCACAACAATGGTGTGTCGCACGCGGTTGTGCGTAACGACATGGACGGCATACATCTCATGTTACGCTGGCTGTCCTACATGCCAAAGGTAGCTGTTGCCGACCGGTGTCCATGTTGGACGACATTTATGTTGTTTTCTACTGTATCACTCAGAAAAACATCATTTTAACTACTCTCACTTTACTAGTACAGAATATGCTGAAGTTTTTTGTGTATATATTTTTTCTTCATGTTGTATAGCATTCTTTTGTACTGTATCACTCAGAAATTTTATCATTTTAACTACTCAACGCTATTGCGTTTATCAGATTTTTTCTCCATGAAAAAAACTGTCATCACTCAGGTACATGTATTTGTATCTGAATTACCTGCAATAAAGATTTAATAATAATAATAATAATATCATGAAAACTATCGATGGAATCACGGATGCTTGTTGTCGTAACAAAGCTTCGCCATTAGTTTAGTTTACATTGGTTTTGGGATAAAAGGTTAGGACCGGGACTAACAATAGGAATAATGATGACGGAACCTACTATACCTGCACTTATACTTATACAACATCCTTACGCGAGCATTTGATATTTCCTTCGTAAGAACATGACGTCTGGCCTCCCGATCGTCAAGTCTCTCGACCCCGTCGATCGTGAGATACAGTTCTACCCGCCCAAGTCAGCGTACGACCCGCGGCACATGCTCGCCGGCCGCATCGACCCGCTCACCAACGTGTGGGAGAGCGGATTCTTTGACGAGGGAAGCTGGATGGAGATCATGGAGAAGTGGGGTCAGACGGTCGTCGTCGGGCGCGCAAAGTACGTGCATGGCGCAGTCTTGTGGACTGATATCGTCTGAATACACATGTGCCACATTGACTTTGGTCGAGACTGTGCGTGTGTGTGTGTGCATGTGTGCGTGTGTGCGTGCGTGCGTGCGTGCGTGCGTGCGTGCGTGCGTGCGTGCGTGCGTGCGTGCGTGCGTGCAGTCTACATACTCACTTTCTTTACTCCTTTTCCTTCATATATATATACGGTGAACCTGCTGTCAATAATAAGAGAACGTTGCTTATTCTTATTGTTATGATATTGCAACAGTAAAGATTGGTATGTAGCATGAGTAAATCCTCGAGAGGTTTAAATTGATGGTGGAATGGTGTAACTTATGATAGACTCTTGCCATGTTATCAGGAGTCTATCAATATCAATATCAATATCAATATCAATATCAATATCAATATCAATATTGATAGACTCCTGATGTTATCTGCGTAAATTTTTGGAATGCGGTCGAGTTATCGTTTAATGAAGGTCGAGTTAACGGATGTTTTTATCTGTTGCGAAATTAAGGATAAGTTCATTCGTATTCATCATAACAAGCTGCTAGAAGCTTGAGGCTTGTTGTCGTCCCCGTGGCAACGTGGACTGATGTGAGCGTGTGCATGGCTTCATCTCCTGCAGGTTGGGAGGCATCCCTGTCGGTGTCATCAGCGTTGAGACACGCACTGTCGAGGTGGAGGTCCCGGCCGACCCCGCCAACGATGACTCCGAGGCTCGGGTGAGACACAGCATCCTCCCGCGTTGTCGCGCAACCGTTGCCTAGCACTGCCTCGGGATGTTGCCATAGCAACATGCCCAGTGTGGATGTAATAGTGTCTGGGGATGTTCCCGTAGTAGTTTTCAGCGTTAGCATGTATTGTTGTTATAAGATGTTTCTGTAGTAACCCGCACCGCGAATGTGTAGTACTATCATAGGATTTTTCCGTAGAAGCAAAATCTGCGCCTGCATCCAGTATTACTACATACAGATGATACTGTTGTACCACAGTTGCAGTGATTGCCAGTAACGACTCGAAACAGCAGGGTTGTCATGCATAGTACTCAGAGTAGATAGTAGAGTCAGTAATGACTCCGACTCGGAGTGGCAGTCATAGCATGTAGTTAGCTCCAGCATTGTGTCACTCATCAGTAGTTAAATCATTTCATGCATGTAGACTAGATAGTAGAGTCAAGAATGACTCAGTGGCAGTCATAGCATGTAGTTAGTTCCAGCATTGTGTCACTCACCAGTAGTTAGACATAATTTTACGTGTTTAGACTAGATAGTAAAGACAGGAATGACTCAGAATAGCAGTCATAGCTAGCATGTAGTTAGTTCCAATGTAGCATGTAGTTAGTTCCAGCCTTGTGTCACTCATCAGTAGGTAGATCATTGTTCGTGCATCACTCGTCACTGATTGGCAATGTGCTGCTTCAGCTGATACCGCAGGCTGGGCAGGTGTGGTTCCCAGACTCCGCCTATAAGACGTCGCAGGCCATACAGGACTTTGGCAAGGAGACTTTACCGCTAATGATCTTCGCGAACTGGCGCGGTTTCTCTGGCGGCATGAAAGGTACGACAATGACAACGGGTGTTTTGAGCGAAAACAAGTGGCGCCTGTAAGCGTCAGGAAACTCGTACTGGGAGAGTTTTTATTCGCGAATCAGCTCATGTTCGCAGACGTGGTTGGGTTCGGCACTGGAATAATATCAGCTATCTCACTTCCGCGCATGTGTCTGCCATCGTCCGAGTTAATGTGACTATTTTGCGTTTTTTAGAAGATGAAACTAAATGAAATAATAAAATACTATATATTAGAATATAAGGTAATAAAAACTAAATATAGAATAGATAAAATAAATATCATAAATAGATAATAATATATAAATATATATAGAATAGAAACTATAAAAATGCAGTTCTGGTTTTGTTGACTCGACATGGTTAAATTGTTGCATTATACTGCCAACTTGCATGCCGGACACTACTCCCCATAGCAAACAATCCGACAGCCGTGTTTTAATAGTTTATATTTTGCTAAAAAAAATAATCGCGGGCACTATTTACAATGACATAAAACTACAACTGCATTTTAATAGTTTTTTTTTCGTTCGAGAAACAATTGCCGGCATGATTCATGCGATCACGTTGACGCTATCATCAGTGGCGCCCTCTCGTTGCAGACATGTTCGACCAGGTGCTGAAGTTTGGCTCGTACATCGTCGACGCCCTCGTCGCCTACCGACAGCCAATCAGCATCTACATCCCGCCGAACGCGGAGCTGCGTGGCGGAGCGTGGGTCGTCGTCGATCCGTCCATCAACAGCCGCTACATGGAGATGTACGCTGATCCTGAGAGCAGGTGAGAGAGAGAGAGGGGAGCAGGAGGGAGGGGGAGGGACAGAGAGAGAGAGAGAGAGGAGGGAGAGCGAGAGAGAGAGAGAGAGGGGGAGAGGGGAACGTGAGAGAGAGAGAAGGAGGGGAGGGCGAGAGAAGAGAGAGGAGAGAAGGGGGAGGGTGAGAGAGAGAGAGAGAGAGAGAGAGAGAGAGAGAGAGAGAGAGAGAGAGAGATAGTGTGTGTGTGGGGGGGGGATAGAGCGAGAGGTAGTGAAAGCGAGTTATTGTGTCAGAGTGCAGTGTGAGTTGTTGTGAGAAAGCGTGAGTTGCTGTAAGATAGCGTGAGTTATTGTGTACCTGTGAGTGTGAGTTATTGTTGTTGAGTGTAACTTATTGTGGTAGAGCGTAAGTTATTGTGTGAGAGTGCAGTGTGAGTTGTTGTGAGAAAGCGTGAGTTGCTGTAAGATAGCGTGAGTTATTGTGTACCTGTGAGTGTGAGTTATTGAGGCAGGTTTGGCAGCCACCATGCTACACGTCAGGGTGCGATCTGTTACAGGGGAGGGGTGCTGGAACCGGAGGGCACTGTGGAAATTAAATATCGCACGAAGGATCTCATCAAAACGATCAACAGAATCGATCCCCTGTGTGTGCAGCTCAAACGTCAGCTGGCCTCACCCGATCTCAGTAAGTGGCGCCATCTATCCCCCACCATGTGAAATAGACGCTGTATGTAAGCAGGCACTGTCAATGCTAAATGTACTGACTAACATAATAACACGATCGTTTATTAACCAATGTAGCCGTGTCAACAGTATTGATTAATGACTAATTATTGAATAAAAAAAAATTATTAACGACTTTATATTACTAATTAATAATTAATTTTAATTATAACCAATTAATATTTTTTTAATAATGAATTCAACTTTTTATTAATGAAGTTGGCCAAGTTTGTTGTCGACACTTTTCTACGTTTTGTTCTCCATTCGATTCTTTGTCGGCGTCTGACAGTGGCCACATCGAGGTGGTGTGAACATGGCATTTTCATGTGTGCAGGGGTAGAAATTAACTTTTGAACAAGCGAGTCCAACAGACTCACAGTCCCTACCAGCAAAAAGAGGGAGTCCTCAGCAAAACGAGAGAGTCCGCAGTATACAAGTAGTACCACAGATATTAACAAAAAAGACAAGTCTGCCAAATTTTCCTGGGTCATTTGCTATAAAAAAATATGGTAATTTCGCGAGGCCGTGCTCTGGAACGAACTAGTTAGTATAGCAGAATTTTCAGGGAGCCACACGGACTCCTGCATATGTCAAATCAGGGAGTCTGATAGTAATTCAGGGAGTATTTGACTTCGGACTCGCGTTAATTTTGCACCCTGTGTGCGTAATTATTTTGTGGGCTTTCCTTCGGACAGGTGCAGATGTGAGACACCACATTGAGATTCAGATGCAGGAGCGGCAGCAGAAACTGATGCACATGTACCACCAGGTGGCGGTCATGTTTGCGGACCTGCACGACACGGCCGGCCGGATGAGAGATAAGAATGTCATCACGGTATTCATCAGCACTGTACTCTGTCTCTCTCCGTCTATTTTGCTCTCTTTTTCTCCTGCCCTCCTTCCCTCCATTGTCTTCTCCTGCCTCCTCCCCCTTCCCTTCCCCTCGTTCTATGTCTCTGTCTGTCTGTCTCTCTCTATAGCCCTCTCCCTCTGGCTATCTCTCCCCCTCTCCACACCCTCATCCTCTCTTTCTGTCTCTCTCTCTCTTTCTCTCTCTCCCTCTCTCTTTCTCTCCCTTTCCCTCTCTCTTTCTCTCCTTCTCCCTCTCTCTTTCTCTGTCAATTTTCAATATCGAGTAGATACATGAGTAAAATAGAGCAAAAATTAACTTGTCTATGGTTTGAAAATGCAGCTATGATAGTCATATACCACACCCGATACTGCCAACCTAGGGGAAAACAACCCAATGCACTAACCCAAGGAGAAACCGCACCATTTAGTGCTAACCTCGTAGAAACTGCACTCTAATCCCTAACCGGGACCACCCTATACAAGTTTGTCTGTTCTCACGCGCAGGACATCATTTCATGGCGCACGTCACGCCGATTCTTCTACTGGCGACTGCGGCGCCGCCTGCTGGAGAACCAGGTGAAGCAGAAGATTTGGCACACGAACGCGGACCTCACCGATGGACAGGTGGAGTCCATGATGCGTCGTTGGTTCATCGAGGCAAAGGGAGCCGTCAACGTACGTGTGCGCGCCGCCGCGTTTGTGTGTGAGATTTGAGAGAAGTGGAGAGGTGGTAGAGGAGAGGAGAGACAGGGGGAGAGGAAGAGAGGGGGAGAGGAGAGACAGGTGGAGAGGAAGAGAGGTGGAGAGGAAGAGATAGGGGGAGAGGAAGATACAGGGGGAGAGGGGGAGTGGAAGAGATAGGAGGAGAGGAAGAGAGGGGGAGAGACAGACAGGTGGAGTCATTGTTATGTCACTGGGTCATAGAGGCCAAGGGAGCTGTCAACGTACTTGTCAACACTGTCACCGCCGATGTCTAGCAGTGGTGGAGGAGATGATAGAGGATAGGAGAGAGAGAGAGAGAGAGAGGGAGAAGGAAGAGAGGGAGTGTGTATGTGAGAGAGGTAATGGGTAGAAAAGAGAGAAGGAGAAAAAAGAGGACAAGTGGAGGAGAGAGGGAGACCTATGTGTTGAGGAAACAGAAAGAGATGATATTATTTAAACAAGAAATTATCAATAATAAATCTGTTCAAAGTTTCAAACATAAGATTAGCATTAGTAACTTCAATACTGAGTGCGTTAGCTTTATCGTAGACACACACTAGCATCACTGCTGGATGATAACATATATAATAATAACATATATTTAATTTATATAATTAATTTATAATACAATAATAATATAACATCATCACTGCTGGATAATGTAACGATGTTTGCTGTGCAGGGATATCTGTGGGACGACAACCAGTCGGTCGTGGAGTGGTTGAGAGAGCAGTTAGAGGTTGAACCATCCGTCTCGCTGGTCATGGAAAACATTCGCGCGTTGCAGAGAGATGCAGCCATAAAGAACATTCGTCAGTGAGTATAGCGTGTGCTTATATAGACTAGTGGGATTTCTGAAAAATGTTAATGTTAGGGGCATTTTGGGGTAAAAGTTGGGAACCAGACTTTTTAACATAATTCGAGTATGCTGAATCCGATAAGCACGGTTCCTAAGCGAAATTTTGAGTTTTTGGCCATCTAATTTGCATAAACAAAATGGCCGCCAAATTGTCGTTTCTTGAACTATTTTCTACAATAGCTTTGTACCCAGGCAAGCAAAAATGAACATTTGAAAATTGAATATTACATCTGTGAAGCCTGTACTGGCGCTACGAAGCACAGTCTGTACCTGCATCACCCCCGTGTGTAGATGCTACGAGCTTGCTATTAGATCCCATAAAGCTATAAAGTTTACGATGAATATTGATGCTAGTGCCCCCTGGTGGTCATGTCTCTTGATGCTAGTGCCCCCTGGTGGTCATGTCTCTTGATGCTAGTGCCCCTGGTGGTCATGTCTCTTGATGCTAGTGCCCCTGGTGGTCATGTATCTTGATGCTAGTGCCCCTGGTGGTCATGTCTCTTGATGCTAGTGCCCCTGGTGGTCATGTATCTTGATGCTAGTGCCCCCTGGTGGTACTGCATATTGATGCTAGTGCCCCCTGGTGGTACTGCATATTGATGCTAGTGCCC